TCCTGTGGGATATCTTCATTACTCTAATTTTCTTTATTAAAACAAAAACAAAAACAAAACCTCTGTGTGTGAACTGTAACACACATAGAGGAAAATGCCTAAAATACAAATGCATATGGCTTAATACATTATTATACAGTGAATGCCTGTGTAACCACCTCCCATGTCAAGAAACATTGACAGCCCCGGAAACCCCTTTGATCACAAACCTCTTCCTAACTACACACCTCATCCTCCTTTATTTTCTAGTCCTAACCTTAGTAGAAGGAGCCCTGGTGGCACAGTGTAATCGCTCAGCTGCTTACTGAAAGGTCAGCAGTTCCAGCCCACTAGCCGCTCCGTGTAAGAATGATATAGCAGTCGGCTTCCATAAAGATTACAGCCTTGGAAACCCTACGGGGCAGTTCTACTCTGTCCTATAGGGTCGCTATGAGTCGAAATCAACTCAACTCGACAGCGACAGGAACGTTAACAGACATGTTTCTAGTGTTTCACAGTAACTTTATTTGCTGTTGATTTCAAATTCTTTTAAAATATTTTGTGTTTTTATCAGGAATGTAAGGCATTAATTTAGAGTATGGCTTTCCTCCTTTGCTTTCACTAACATATTTCTTACTAGAAAGCTGTGATGGTTAAGACTGTGTGTCACCTTGGTTGGGCCATGATTCTCACTCACCAAGGCTGACTTGGCTACAGCCACTGCTGAGTGCCCAGTCTGCCAGCAGCAGAGACCAACACTGAGTTCCCAATATGGCACCATCCCTCGAGGTGATCAGCCAGCAATCTGGTGGCAAGTTGATTACACTGGACCACTTCCATCATGGAAAGGGCAGCATTTTGTCCTTACTGGAATAGACACTTACTCTGGATATGGATTTGCCTTCCCTGCACTTATTGCTTCCGCCAAAACTACCATCTGTGGACTTACAAAATGCCTTATCCACCATCATGGTATCCCACACAGCATTGCCTCAGATCAAGGGACTCACTTCACAGCAAATGAAGTGCGGCAGTGGGCCCATGCTCATGGAATTCACTGGTCTTACCATGTTCCCCATCATCCTGAAGCAGCTGGCTTGATAGAACTATGGAATGGCCTTCTAAAGACACAATTATGGTGCCAGCTAGGTGGCAATACCTTGCAGGGTTGGGGCAATGTTCTCCAGGAGGCTGTATATGCTTTAAACCAGCATCCAATATATGGTGCAGTTTCTCCCATAGCCAGGACTCATGGGTCCAGGAATCAAGGGGTGGAAATGGGAGTGGCACTACTCACTATTACTCCTAGTGTCCCACTGGCAAGATTTTTGCTTCCTGTCCCCTTGACCTTATGCTCTGCAGGCCTAGAGGTCTTAGTTCCAAAGGGAGGAATGCTCCCACCTGGAAACACATCACTGATTCCACTGAACTGGAAGTTAAGAATGCCACCTGGCCACTTTGGGCTCCTTATGCCTCTGGATCAACAGGCAAACAAGGGAGTTACCATACTGGCTGGTGTGATGGATCCTGATTACTAAGAGGAAATTGGATTGATACTACATAATAGAGGTAAAGAAGAATATGTCTGGAATGCAGGAGATTCCTTAGGGCGTCTTTTAGTACTACCATGTCCTGTGATTAAAGTCAATGGAAAACTACAGCAACCTAATTCTAACATGGCTACTAATGACCCAGACCCTTCAGGAATGAAGGTTTGGGTCACCCCACCAGGCAAAGAACCACAACTAGCCGAGGTGCTTGCTGAGGGAAAAGGGAATATGGAATGGGGTGGTGGAAGAAGGCAGTTCTAAATACCAGTTACAGCCACGTGACCAGTTGCAAAAATGGGGACTGTAACTGTTATGAGTATTTCTGCTTTGTATGTGTGCATCAAATATTTTTTTTCCTTCACTTATAAGATGTAAACAGGGCTAGTGTGTTTTCGATTGTACGCATGTTAGTTGTATCATGTTGGCCACCAAGTATGACTTTCTAATTGTCTTTATTCAGAGATTATGTATAGTTTAAGGAGATGTGTACGCGTGCCAAGTTGACAAGGGGTGGACTGTGATGGTTAAGATCTGTGTGTCAACTTGGCTGGGCCATGATTCTCAGTGTTTTAATGTGATCACTCCCATGACCGAATATACTGAGTAGCCAATCAGATGAAAGGGAGTCTCCTTGGGGGTGTGGCCTATATCTGAATATAAGCAGATGTTCTGGCTTTTTTCTCACTCTGGATCCTGTGGCTGCCTCCTGTCATCTCATCTCTGGTTCTTGGGACTTGAGCTATCAGCTTATCTGCAAACTTGGGATTCGCTGATCTTCACAGCCTGTGCGTGGATCCCTGCTCTCTGACTGGCCAATCTTGGGTTCTCCAGCCTGTTAGCTACATGAATCAGGAGAAACTGTGGTCTTGCCTGCTAATCTTGGAATTCGTCAACCTTCACAGCCTGTGAGCAGGAGCCCTGCTCTCTGACCTGCTGATCTCGGGCTCGCCAGCTTCTGCAGCTGCATGACTTGGGAGAGGCCTCTACCCTGATGCACGAACTTGGGACGTTCTAGCCTCTACAATCACATGAGCTGTTTCCTTGATATAAATATATATATATATATACACACTTTACTGGTTTTCCTTCTCTAGAGAACCCAGCCTAAGACAAAAGTCAACCTTGTATTTCTAGAATCCATGATATCCTACTTGGTCTAAGATTAATGTTCCTATCATATACAGTTGGTATTGACTTGTTTGTAATTTAAGACTTTTGTCTTTTTTTTTCCCTAATTCTCACTTTCACAGTTTTTTGGTACTGGGTTCAGGCTTATAGTATGAAATGAATCAGGATGCTTTTTCTATGCTCTGAATGGTTTAAATAGCTTAAAATACTTATTCCTTGAAGATTTAAAACAATTCCCATAAAAAATACCTGGACTTGATGTCATTTTTAAAAAGAGTTCTTTGATAATTTTATAAAAGACTTCTATGACTTTCTATTATGGGTTTCTTGTGACAATTTTGGTAGTTTTTTTTTTTTTTGAAAGTAGTCCATTTCAGCTAAATTTTAAAATTTATATACATTGGTCAATACAGAAATTTATAATTGTCAAAACCTCTTTTATTTATCCTAAACAAATATTTTTATTCTTTACATGCCCCTGGCTTTCTATCTTTTGCTGTCTATAAGGATATTTCCTTTTATCTTCTTCAGTGTTTTGGAGAATATTTATCCTGTTTTTAATAACAGTTACCTTTTCATTTTCCAAAAGCATCCTTTATCATACAGTTTTCTAACTGTCAAAGTTAATACAGACATGGAACGTTTTTACTCTGTTTCTGATGAAAATGCATGACACTTTTACTTACTAGGCCCTCCTTCATCTCTACTTCACTCTCAAAAAAACAAACAAACCCGTTGCCATCAAGTCAATTCCAAATTATAGTGGCCCCATAAGAAAGAGTAGAACTGCCCTACAGGGTTTCCAAGAAGCAGCTGGTGGAATCAAACTGTAGACCTTATGGTTAGCAGCCGAGCTCTTAACCACTGCGCCACCAGGGCTCCACCTCACTCTCAAGGCCCCATTAATTCTCGGTTTTTGATATAGGTTAATGTTGTTGTCATGTGCCATCAGGTACTGACTCATAGTGACATAATTCAAATTATTATTAAATTATTGCTTTTTTCCACTATTTATCCTCTTTTTAAGAATCTGGCATTTCATTCCATTTTTAACCTATTTATGGCAATGATTTAAATTTATTTATGTTTAACTGGTTTCAGTGCTTGCTACAGTCTTTTGGTACTAAGTGATACAACAGATTCAGTTTTCCTTCATCTCTAACTTGGTTAGAGTGATCTCTAAGTAGTTTCTTTTATCAAGGAGAGTACATAAATGGTATAATTTCTCAGTGTTTGCATGTCTGAAAATGTCTTTCCATTGTCTTCACCTATGAAAGGCATCATCAGTAGGTATAAGTTTCGGGGTTAAAAAGTCTCCCCTGCTGAACTATTAACTTTGCATTCCATGAGGCCAGTTTGGTTTTTCTTCTCTTATAGGTAACTGGATTTTGTTTGTTTTTGCTTCTATTCTTATAATTTAAACTTTTTGCTGGAATGAGTTTAATTACAGAATCCTTTCTCATGGATTTTTCTGGAACATGAGTCATTTCAATATAGGCCTTTTCAATACAGGTCTTTCTGCAGTTCCCAAAACCCCTACTCAACTATATCTTTGAATATTGCTTCTCCTCCACTTGTTCTATTTTCTCTTTTGAAGCATCAAACATCCCCATGCTTAAGTACCAGTCTGTGCTCTATTGTTGTTCACCCTCTCACTGGTATCATCTTTCTATACTCTGAACTCTGAGAGAGCTTCTCCTTCGTTTTTGTAACACAGAATCTACTTTCTGAAGTTAATCAGTCATGTTATTGTTTCCAGTGTGCATTTTTTGTTTGCTTCTGCACTTCTGGGTTCCTATAAGCCTTTCCATATTGACCTCAGCGTGTTCTTTCCTTATAGTTTTCTGCTCCCGCTTCATAAACAGCACATTTTTCTTATATTCTTTTGAAGAGCCAAACAGCTTCCTGAAACTTTCTTCTGGATTCTAAACTGAAATTAGACACTGGAAGTGTATAACTGTATGGGTCTTCAGGATAATCTGTTTTTTTTTTTGGTCCTCATTGTTCTGTCCTAAGCCCTATGTTTCACCACCTCCAACTCACCCAGACCTCTGGTCACTCTGCTCATCTTAGCTGCAGCAAGAGTTATCTCTGGGTGGTGGAATGATGATATTTTTGTTTTTTTGAAATCCACATTATACGTATCATTGTGCTGTTAGCTATCATCGAGTTGGCCCCTGACTCATGGTGACCCCATGCACAATGGAACGGAACACAGCCCAATCCTATGCCATCCCCATGATCGGTTGCAGACTGGACCTTTCTGATCCATTGGATTTTCACTGGCTGATTTTTGGAAGTAGATCACCAGGCTTTTCTCCTAACGTCTCTTAGTCTGGAAGCTCCACTGATATTATAGCAACATGCAAGTTTTCACTGACATTATACAATAAAGACTGCAATAAAGATTATTTTGAAAAAATAAAAGTAGAAAAAAATGTTTAATTTTTCCCTAAAGTACCCTATAAATAGCATAATTTTTTTAAAAAAATCAACATTTGGGAATCTAGGATATATAGGGAAGTTGTGATAGCAAAATAGTTAATACATACCTTTTACTTCTAAAAGGAGGATTCTAATATATTAAGACAACAGAATGATAACATGATCTAACCCTGTTCCCACATAAGCACCAATTTTATTCCAAATAATTACATAATTTAAAACGAAAATTTTCCTAAAATACTTATACAAAAAGTTACCCCAGTGTCATTAATGTCATTAATTCTGGAAATGCTGTCTTGTACATCAGCACTGCCTTAGTTAAATGGAAACATTCTAAACATTCTACAGCTGCTACAGATTTCATTTTAAAAGTTTCAAAAGAAAAAACCTTCTATTTATCTTTCATGATAAATGATGCTACTGATAACTTTACTTGGTAAAATTTTAGTTACTTTGGTGATTTTTACAGTTTTAAAAATAAGCAACATATATATATGTGTGTGTATATATATATACATATAATAACAAGCCAGTCTAATGGCTTGCATTGGAGACCAGGGAGTTGCATTTTGTTAAACCCAAATTGAACAGAGTTGAATTTAGGTTAATACAGAGAAAGGCATGCTCTGGATGTGTTGTCCTTTGTATTTCTTGCAGCATCAGATGAATCGTAAAGAGTTCAAACAGCTTCTTATTACTCCTGAAAGAGAATGAGCACATTAACTACACACACTTAAGGAGTTAATCTGTAGTGTCAGGGAGATAACTTAGGTATAAGTGTGGGGAAATGGCTGTCTGTTTTTAACAACAGTGGAGGAAACAGGTGACTAAAGGATTGTGATGTGGAGACAAACAAAAAGTTTTGATGATAGGCCTGAAGTGGAAAACCACTCAAGGAAAAAGGAAGAGTTTCTTGATCCTGAAAACTGCATTGGGCATCAATTCTATCTGCCCTGTTCACTGTGACAGTTTGAGAAATTTTTTTCCACAGAGACAAAAAGCAGCAAACAATTTATCATCTTATTTTAAGTAAGCTGGACTTTTTAAAGTGGTAGAATACTGTTTTATCTTTTAATTTCTCTAAATTTCTCAACCATCTTCTTTCTCAAAATCAGTCAGTAATTTCATTTTCAATCAGTTAGAATTACAGCTTACAACATAACTTATTATTTCCTTGTCTAGGTATAGGGTTGCTATGAGTTGGAATTGACTTGGTGGCAATGGGTTTGGTTTTTTGGTTTTTGTCTAGGTATATTTACTTCTTGAGAGAAATTATCAAATAACCTTATATGCCATCCATTTAATGCAAAAGGATTTATATCTTTGTGGTTTTAAAGATTCATTATAAGACTTAAGCATTAACTATTCCCAATCCTCATATTCAATCTTTGTTATAGTTATTTATCTACATCTAAAATGAGCAAAAGCTATAAAACACATTACTAAAAGTAAAATGCTTTGGTCCAAAGATACACTTGCACTTTGAGACGTTAAAAAAAAAAAAAAAAAAAATCCCATGAATTAAAAACTAAGAAAGAATTAAATCTAAGTAACGTTACTGCAGCTTTATGGCACCACAGGGCAAACTGAAACAGGTCTTATTGAGAATTTACTGATTACAAATCAAGGGAATCACAGTACTGTTAGCAAGAAAAGAAAGACAATGAAGATAAGTTTGTTATCAGACCAAAACTAATAATTTAGTGAGCTGAGTATAAGATCATAATTTGATAACAATTTACTACAATGTTCTAGGCATGGTACCACATACAACATATGGACCTACTATCATACATCTACGAATGATTTTAAGATGCATTACATTTGTTATTCTAGACATACTGAGGCCTGGCATTAAAAATCTATGTCCTTAATTTTAAACAAAGATTCTATAGAAGAATCCTGACCAAAAGGGAGAAAATGCAGGACAGAATTTTAAATTGTCATGGAATCCAGACTTTCTGGAGCCACAGAGACTAGATAAACCCCCAAAACTATTGCCCTGAGATAAGTTTTAAACCTTAAACCAAAAATACCCCCTGAAGTCTTCTTAAAACCAAACAGTAGTTTAACTTAACTAGTAAAGAATGTCTGCCTTGAGCACTGTGCTCTTTTAAGAACTATCTACACGGGATCAAACGGACAACAGCAATTCGAAAGATGAGACAGGAAACTTAGGGGCAGTGAGTTTATGTTACTGGGGGAGGAACAACTCAGAAAAGGAGGGCGAGAATGGTTGCACAACTCAAAGAATATAATCAATGTCACTGAATGATCTGTGTAAATTCTCAACAACAAAAATAAATGATTTTTAAAAATATATGACCTTAATTTGTAATTTAAAAATCAGTTATGCCAATGTTGAATCAGAAGGATGAAGAGAAAGGAAATATAAAAAGAAAGCCTTTGATTTTAGTAGACCAAATAAAGGTATAAAAAAGACACTGTTATCATCCTCTTTATCACCACCTGTCATTTTCAGAATACTAATGGGCAATGATTTCTTCTGATATTATCACTTGGTTGCTAAAATGATGCTTAGTTTTACATATTGTCTGTGGTACCTAAAGTTCATTGAACTGAACAGAACTTCAGAAACAAACAGGTGCTCTAAGATTGACACTCTAATTTTAGTGTATCACTAAGTATGTCACTAAATAAGCATTAACATTCATGACTCTCAACTTTCTACATCTGTATATCAGAAATTTTTATTTAATAATCAAAGTTGAGCTAGTATGGAATTCAGAAAGGTGTAAATGACAACAATAAGATATCTTTCAATAAAAATTTAAGAAATAAGAAATTCTTACTTGATTTTGGAAAGTTTCTGTAAAATAATACTGAGCTTTTCTAGTATTTGAAGATCAAGCTTAGGGGTCCGAAGGAGCACGGAGCAGGTACGGAAAAATAAAGTGTTGCTACAGGCTTCCAGAAAAGGCTGCAAGGATTCTGCAAAACAAATCACCTGTTAATGAACAGGCTAAAAAGGAAATTAAAAATAAAATAAAACCAGAACTATATGGGATATTTATAAATATCGATTTGAATTCTCATTCTTCTCATTCTTAAACTTTTGAGTAAAAAATATTATAATTTGAAAAATTAAAACATTCATTAGCCCTTGTCAAACAATGCAAAGATAAGAATTCTTCCCCCTAATATCAAACCTTCTTTAGGAAGAATTTAGCAGAAATTCCATGTTTGAAAGAAAGGGGAGGAAAGTCAATTTTTCAATAAATTCGTAACAATAAGCTGAGTTTAAATAATTAGCTATAAAAATTTTGTTGGGGTAGTAAATTAAAACAACAGCAACAAAAATCTCCTAAGTTTACTAATGACAGTTTAAGTAATCACTGGATAGGGAAGAACTTTTGAAGCATAAAAGCAAAAGGAGAAAGGAAAAGATGGAAAGACTGACAGAGTAAACATTTTACATGTCTTTTTTTAAAAAACCCTATCATAAACAAAATTAAAAGACAAAAGTCTCACAAAACAAAACGAAGCAAAACAAAAGGTAAGCATCAAACTTGGGGGGAAAATCCCTTTGTAACATATTTGTCAAACAATTACTATAAAAAGAACCCTTATACAGATAGAACTAGTATTTTTAGTAACAAGCAAATGGCATAAACAAGCAGTTCACAATAGACTACTGAAGGTCACAGGTGAGGATGTGGAAAAATCAGAACCTTCATCCATTGCTGGTGGGATTGTAAACTGGTGCAGTCGCTGTGGAAAACAGTTTGGCTGTTCCTCAAAAAGTTAAACATAGAATTACCATATTACCCAGCAATTCCACTCCTAGCTATACACCAAAAAGAACTGAAAGCAGAATGCAAACAGATACCTGTAACCAATGTTCATTACAGCCAAAAGGTGGAAACAAGCTAAATGTCCATCAATAGATGAATGAACAGAATGTGGTGCATACACACTACGGAATATGACTCAGCCATAAAGAGAAATGAAGTCCTGATGCGTACCACAGCACGAATGAACCTTGAATGCTGCGTGAAATAAGTCAATCACAAAAGGACAAACACTGTATGAGACCGCTATTACAAAAACTCATAAAAAGGTTTACACAGAAAGAAACAATCCTTGATAGTTACGAGGGAGGAGAATGTTGGGGAGGGAAAAACACTAACTACACAATAGTTAAGTGGTAACTTTGGTGAAGGGTAAGACAGTACACAACATTGGACAAGTCAGCACAACTTGACCAAGGCAAAGTCATAGAAGCTTCCTAGACACATCCAAACTCCCTGAGGGACCAAATTCCTGGGCTGAGGGCTGGGGACTATGGTCTCAGAGACATCAAGCTCAACTGGTAGAACATAGTTTATAAAGAAAATGTTCTACATTCTACTTTGGTGAGTAGCATCTGGGGTCTCAAAAGCTTGTGAGCGGCCATCTAAGATACTCCACAGATCTCACCCCGTCTGGAGAAAGGGAGAATGAAGAAAATCCAAGACACAAGGGAAAGATCAGTCCAAAAGACTAATGGACCACAACTACCACAACCTCCACCAGAATGAGTCCAGCACTACTAGATGGTGCCAGGCTACCACCACCAACTGCTCTGGCAGGGATCACAAGACAGGGTCCCAGACAGAGCTGGAGAAAAGTGCAGAACAAAATTCTAACTCACAAAAAAAGACCACTTACTAGTCTGACAGAGACTGGAGAAACTCTGAGAGTACTGCCCCCAGACACCCTTTTAACTCAGTAGTGAAGTCACTCTGGAGGTTCACCCTTCAGCCGGAGATTAGACAGGCCCATAAAACAATAACACACGTAGCTCAACCATGTATATGAGACTAAATGGGCACACCAACCCAGGGGCAAGGACAAGAAGGCAGGTGGGGACAGGAAAGCTGGACGAATGGAAATAAGGAACCCAAGGTTGAGAAGGGGAGTGTTCCACGTCATGAGGTTGGCAACCAATGTCACAAAACAATATGTGTAGTGTTTAATGAGGAACTAACTTGCTCTGTAAACCTTCACCTAAAGCACAACTAAAAAAAAATAAAGATTATATGCCCTTTACATATAACCATGTGGTGAAATGGAGAAGAAAAACTCATCACTTTCACAACAGTAGTCTACCCAAGTATGGTCTTAACTTAGTTTGCCAAGTAATATTCTATAATTAGATGAGAGGCAATATGAGAAGGTGAAATAAGAAATTATTAGTACGGATACACTTCCTCTGAAATACGTAGGATATTGTAAAAGCTTACACTTCACTGTGACAGAAAAATAAGATGTTATTTAATTCAATAAAGTATGGAACTGTTTTAGGGAATGTGCTTCAGTTTATTACTCAAAAATTAAAAGAAAACATATTATATACTATTATGTGTGTGTATACATACTTGAGGAGCCCTGGTAATGCAGTAAATGCAGTAGTTAAAATGCTTAGCTGCTAACCAAAAGGTCACTGCTAGGAACCCACTAGCCACTCCACAGGGCAATGATGTGGCAGTCTGCTTCCATAATTACAGCCTTGGAAACCCTATGGGACAGTTCCACTCTGTCCTATAGGTCAGGGCTTTGAAGCAGTTTGTTCCAGTTCGAACTCCTGCTGAGAATTTGCATTTCTAAGAAGTTCCCAGGTGATGCTAATGCTGCTGGTTACAGACTAATTCTGAGAACCACTAATACAGCAGTGGTTCTCAAAATTTATTATACATAAGAATCACCTGGGGATCTTGTTAAAATGTAGATTCTGATTCAGTATATCTGGGGTGGAAATGCAAATTCTCAGCAGGGGTTCAAACTGGACCAAACCAGTCTGAAACCCTGCTATAGGCTCTATACAGTTGCTGAGTTTGAATCGACTTGACGGCAACAGGTTATACATATACATGTACAGGGGTGTATACTCTATATATCAGTTACACAGAATCTTCTTAAAGACTGAAAAATTAGGTTACAGATATAGCATACATAATCTACAAATAACATTAAGAATAAGTTGATTAAATTTAGAGCAGCTTTATTAAACAACTGCATACAGTTTTCTTACTTTAGATACTACGATACATTATTTCTGTCAACTGTAAACAAGACAGTTAACTGTGTTTTATGGCTAGGAGAACCGAAATCAGAGAGTGAAGAACAATCATAAGTCATTACCAGAAAGAACACTGATCTAAACACACCTGCAACCTGAAAAATCAACATTTTCAGTTCAAAAGCCCAAAATCTATACAAGAAAATGATGATTGTTTGTATACTGCAAAAGAGTGGAAGAGTAGTATCTTCCTTTACTGAATATACATATAAATCAGGCCTCGGCATGAGCAAAACACACAAATTTAAGGTTTATTACAAAAAGCCCTAAGTAAAATCCTTTTTTTTAGGATTTTACATTGTCAAATAAAAGTGGATTTCCTTATATGACCTCTACTATGGAAGAAAGCCAAGACTTCCAAAGATTTTAACATATCAGCATATTTAAAACACAAAGGCTCACTGGCTTGATTTCCAATCTCTCTTTTAAACCTGAGACAAATATACAATAAGGAGAAAGGAAATTCTGAGATTATATGTGTTCTGCTAAATTTAACTATCAGGTCGAAACAATGCAGTCTAAACATTTCTTCAATACTACAGTTTTCCAATTAATTATATTTTTAAAGCTCAGAAGAATTTCAATTTGAATAAACTTGAACAATTTAAGAGAGAAATAAAAGAAATAGGCCAGGTAGCTCCTCTTCTAAAATTCATGTCACACTGAATGAATTACATACATGTCTTCACTGATTTCTACATTAAAATGGTGGGATAAAAATGCCTGAGAGCCAATAAAATAGGTATAGAAGGGAAATTTCTCAACATAATAAAGGGCATCTATGTAAAACCAACGGCCAACATCATTCTTAATGGAGAGGCTAAAAACATTCCCCTTAAGAACAGGAACAAGACAAGGATGCCCTTTATCACCACTCCTATTTAATATGGTGCTGGAAATCCTAGCTAGAGCAATAAGGCAAGAAAAAGAAATAAAAGGTATCCAAATTCGTAACTATCTTAATCATCTAGTGTTACTCTAACAGGAATACTACAAGTAGATGGCTTTACAAAGAGAAGTTTATTCTCTCTCAGTCCAGTAGGCTACAAGTCCAAATTCAGGGCATCAGCTCCAGGGCAAGGCTTTCTCTGTCGGCTCTGGAGGAAGGTCTGTGTCATCAATCTTCCCTTGGTTTGGGAAATTCTCTTCGCTGGAACCTCAGGTCCAAAGGACGCGCTGCTCCCGGCACTGTTTTCTTAGTGGTATGAGGTTCCTTACTCTCTGCTTGCTTCCTTTTCCTTTTCTCTCTTGAGAGATAAAAGGTGGTGCAGGCCACACCCCAGGGAAACTCCCTTTACGTTGGATCAGGGATGTGCCCTGGGTAAGTGTGGTGTTACAATCCCACCCTAATCCTCTTTAACATAAAATTACAATCACAAAATGGAGAACAACCACACAATTCTGGGAATCATGGCCCAGCCAAATTGATACACACATTTTTTGGAGGACATAATTCAAACCATGAAGTAATGAAAAAGTTAAACTGTCCCTGTTCGCAGATGATATGATACTATACATAGAAAACTCTAAAGACTCCATGAGAAAACTACTGGAACTAACAGAAAGATTCAGCAGAATAGCAGGATACAAGATAAACAAACAAAAATCCGTTGGATTCCTATACACCAATAAAGAGAAGGATGAAAAGGAAATCAGGAAAACAATACCATTTATAATAGCCCCCCCAAAAATAAAATACTTAGGAATAAATCTAAAAAGGGATATAAAAGACCTATACAAAGAAAACTACAAAACACTACTGTAAGAAACCCAAAAGAATCTACATAAATGGAAAAACATACCATGCTCTCTACTGTGATGGTTAAGATTGTGTGTCAACTTGGCTGGGCCATGATTCTCAGTGTTTTAA